GCAATGGGCTGGATTGGTGGAGTACTGTATTCTCGGGTGGTGCAGACCCATTCTTGTTTTAGAGGATCGGAGGGTAGGTTGATATATGTAGATCGGGGACCTGCATATGTCATGTGGTCTGCAATTCCCAGTTGGGTTTTAATCGGTTCGAATCGTTGTTGCTCCTCGGTTATGGAGACTCAACTCACTGTTCATCATCTAGTTAATAACTGAAACTTGAGGTTGGTTTGAGAAGGTGTTGGATATGAAGTTTCATGATCTCAATACGGATCATGTCAGCTTTGTATATGATCTTTATGAAGTTTTAAATGTTGATATAAAGAATTTTGTTAAAGAGCTTTTACGCAAAAGAACTTTGATTATTGTTAAAGCCATACCTTGAATCCCTGAGCTTGCATTCCTGAGTTCTATAAGTTTTTATTTCGGTTAAGTCTTGTTGATTACTTTTGTACTCAGGGTTCGTTGACCCTTGTTGCAGGTGAGCCTCATGAGCAGGTCTGTTTTGGACCGTGCTGCATGACTGTTGTTCAATGCGATGACGATAAGTAAATGTGTGGCCCTTGGGCAGGGCAATCTCTTTGTGTGTTTATATTATGTTATAATACAATTCTACTACTACGTTTTGTAATAATTATCAAACTTAGTTGTAAGGTTTGAAACTGCTGTTTTGTAAACTATGTTATTGTAAGACTTCCGCTGATTTACTCTGGTGTAGATATTTGAATAAATGTTGTAATACTGCAATGACTCTGTAATGTGATCCTGCTCGGAAATCGTGAATGATTCCGGGTTCCCCGAGGACACCCGACAGTCTTCTTAAGTTACCAGGAACATATGCATAGTTGTCAGAGGTCATCGGACAGTGACAGGTGCACGTGGGCTATATAATTTAGGAGGTTCTGCCACACGCAGGCGCCGCCGCTCCCGCTCATAGCACGCCCCGCGCCGGGGGCACCCATGGCGCTCACCGACCCACGGCCAGGCGGGAGGAGGGGAGGCGGCGGCCGAGGCGGAGGCAGAGGCGGAGCGGCTCATTGCGCTCCTGCCGTGTGCTGTTCACGCTAGCCTCGTCGCTGACCTCGGTGCCTAGGTTGTCACGCGACTGTGCTGTGTGCTAGAGCATGTTCCACGACGACGCCGAGCTCCGCCTCCTGCCTGCCTGTCAGCACGCCTTCCACTCCCGCTGCGTGACCCGTGGCTTTGTGCGAACCCAGATCCTGTCTGCTGTGTAAGCGTGAGAAAGAAGAATGATGACAACTCAGTTTGTATTCATCAAGGCTTATGCCTATATACATGTACATCACGGTCATAGCTAGCTAGTAGATGCAAGGAGAACCAAGGAACATATGCATGTACATCTCTCGGTCAGAACTAGCTAGACTCAAGGAGAGCCTAGGAACGTGCTAATGGGCTTGTTCGCTTGTCTGAATTCCGGAGGAATTTGGATGGTTTGGAGGAATGCTGGAGGTATTTGTGAGAGAAAAACACTGTTTTGGATGAAAAAAATAAGCGGATCAAGCCGGATTTAAGGGCACGTGAACGGGGCCAAAGTGCGCTAACACGCTGTGCCGCGCCTCCATCACGCTGCGCCCCACCCGCCGCTCACAGACCTCCTCCGTGTCGAGCTCGGTAGCATCAGCAGCCGTCGCTCCAACTCGGACGTTGCGGCAGCCATTCACGCGTACCTGCTCGCGTCCCCAACTTGGCGTCGTCAGAGTACCTCGTCGAGGAGGAGCTCCAGGTCGTGCTCAAACTGAGCCCGTGCGCCACCGCCGGGTCCAGCGACCCACCAACCCTGTAGTCACATCAGCAACAGCAGCACGAGCTTGCCGCAGTGAAGCGTGGGCAGCTGCAGCCGCCGCCGTCGTCCATGGGCCTGACCCCTATGGCATATCGTTGAGGTCGACGGCGGAGCGGTGGAGCAACTGGTGGAACAGCCAAACGCGCCGGTGGAGCAGCTGACGATAGAGCAGCCAGTACGACACTGGGACCGTGATGACCGCTAGTGCTGCACGAGCGTGATCTCAGCCACCAGCTACGCATGGCGTGCTGTCGCCGGCACAGGCGAGCCCCCGTGGGTATGGCCTAGCCACGCCACCAAGACTTGTGAGGAGGGGCCAACGAGCTTCGTGTGCAATCGTGGGAAAAAAATAAAGGAAACACAAAATGAGCGTGAGGGGTTAAATGTAAAATTGACTACCATGTTGACATGCCACGTAAGCAAAATACTGCTGACAAAGCGGTATGGACCTACGGTGAGCTAAGAATCAAGATAAGGGACGTAGAAAAGTATTTTGAGAGTTTGTGGAGCTAAGTGGCACACCCTTACAAAGTTCGAGGAACGCCGATGCATTTAACTCTTTTAATAAATACTCTACTGTTTGGCAGTTTGGCAGTTTTTGGTGTATCACCTGTCCTTGGCAGTGTGGCTCATGTAGGTGACTGTTACTACGATATTAGCAGGGCATGTTAGTATGATAGTATCTAGTCCATGTGCCTTTTTTTCCGATTGTCCAGTATTGTGCAGTTTTGCTGGACACCCAAGGCTTACTAGTATTCCAAGCAGCACCAAACTGAGATAAATATTCAGACACTTAAGTGTTACAAACTTTTTCTGGTTCTGGTGTGTTCTGTTCAGACGTCACATGTTTGGTCATTGAAAGACTCCCATATTTTTGTTTTTCCAGGCTATTTCTTGCTACTTCGCAACTTGGACCTTTGCAACTCTTACACAAACGATAGGTGATTCCTTTCATAGTCTCTTACACCTTAGAAATTGTTTGGTTTTTTTATCCATTGTACTTAGATATACGCAAGTGTTATTTTCAGTTATGAACCAGCCAGCCATGAAAAAACTACTATTTAGCAAGCTCAATTAACCAAGATGTCCCTCATCTGATGGATCAACAGGCCCAACTGCTGAAGATTCTTCACGTAACGTCGATGAGCATAAACATCTTCCCCCAGAGAGAAGAGAAGCATCTGATTCTAGCGTTGATCAGGTCAGGGATCAGCCCGATGAGAAATCAGAAAAAGGCAATTAAATGTGTATGCAATCCTAACTCATTCCTTACCACCAACCAGTAGCCTCCTGCCATAGCCGCAATCTAGTATTCAGTTCAAAATTAGAATGGCCAGAACCCCAACTCTTCACCCCTCTTTTATTCTTCCTGGAGCTATGCAGCAAATAACACCTTCATATTATGTAGTTTGATATTCGCAAGTCATAAATGCTGGCTGCTTAGTAGTGCTTTTCGCAGGCGTTTGTTTTTTGTTTTAGGGAAGAGCTTGTGAGGACTCAGTGGAGTTTTGTTTTGCACTTGACATGTAAGCTGGTATCCCCAGCAGACCTTATTTTAAGCTTTCCATAAAAGCTGGGCCGAGGTCTTTGGTCTAAAAATATTCGCAAGGGATGCTTTGGTTGTTAGCATTGATTCATTGATATGTTAAGAGTGTTTGACACAGTGATGGATTAAAGAAGTCACCCGTGTGAGTAAAATTCTCGTGCGACTTGGTATCTATATATCTCCTATCTCCGTGCCGTATCTGGGGACTGATTGGATGTTATTACTCCATATTATGCATATTTCGTAACCTGTACGATGTACCAAAGTGGTGCGCATATACAGATTCGGGTCAGCCAGCGCCCAGCGATACCCGGGCATGTGTGCATGGTAATAATTTAGAGAAAAAAAATGTAAAGGGCCGTTTGTATACCTTTATTTTGGAGGAATTGAAATTAACATAATAGATTAGACTATTTGGCTTGGAATTTGATATTCCATAACTTTTTCAAGCTCGTAAATAAGTCTATCTTAAATTCATAGGGTGGGAGATGGAAATGGACTCTATAGTATGCTATAATTTTATTCTTCAACTCACTTCCCTATAATAGAAATACAACATATAAGTATGTCGCTGGTATATCTAACAATAAATATACAAATATATTCCATATACAACTATATTAGATTAATCTATATCTAAATTATAATTATTAGAATGAATTTAATTTCAAGGATCCAAACGGCCCCAAGAGTATTCTACGCGACTACGTTTGTGCCTTTTTATGGATTATTTTGCATTCTTTACTTTGCGCGGATAACTGAAGCAATTCCATTTCATGCAGTAAATAATTCTTGTGCCCTAGATCTTCTTAATCATTAATAGTGTGTTTAGTCTAAGGATTAATTAGCTTCATCCGGTATAAGGCGTGTTTGGAACCGCCCTTTATGCGGTGGCCGCAAAAGAAGCAAAGAAATACGTCAAATGTCCCGCGGTGTGAATGATTCTTCTCACCACATACGGCACTAGAACCGTGAAATAAACTAGCTCTTGCATTTTCTGTGCCACGGTGCGACGACCATGGTATCCATATTGCACCACACGGTCTGCAACCGCAGTCCCAAACAACCATAGGCTCACTTTGCGTCTGCATATCGTGGACAGGATGGGTGATGTGAGGCCAAGAGGGGAAGGAAAAACGATGAGGTACCACCGGCGCTCCAACCACCCCAGGGTATGCTCCACGGTGGAGCAAATGCTGGCGCGTGACGAAGAATCCCGTCGTCGTCATGAGCAGTTGATGGAGATGATGCTCAACTTGATTCAAGCTAATCAAGGAGGTCTAAAAATATTCGCAAGGGATGCTTTCGTTGTTCGCATTGATTCATTGATATGTAATTGCAATATGGTATCGCCCGCCTGCATCGTGACAGAATTGAGGGCAATTGTCCGGCGTGCGTGACGTTCCCGCACCGCCAGCGAGGGCCGTTCTCTCTCTCGCCTCCTTTCCCTGAAAAAAAAGAAAAGAAACCCAACCTGCCGCGCAGGGTCCCTCTCCCTCCAACAACGACGGGGCGGCGCGGGCGCCCAATAGGCCAATAAACAAGAGGCCGTGTCCAGTGCCCACCCCCAGGCACCCACCACCATCAGGGCCTCCTCTGCTCTTCGCCACTGCCAGCTGCTCTCATTGCTGCTCCACGGCCGCTGCCAAACCGATGGCCCCTGCGAGGATGCGAGCCGTGCAGTACGACGGCTACGGCGAAGGCGCCGCGGGGCTCAAGGTAAGCGCGCGCCACCGCCGCCGTTTCCTTCTCGCTTCGTTTTTCGTTCCGTTTCTACCTAAGCTTTCCTAAACAGAAAACAGGAATCAGGAATTAATGCGAATGATTCGTTCCTTGGAAAATCCGATGGCTCATGACCTGGTTGCCTGATTTACATATGCTACCACTAGTGCAGTATGTTAATTAGTAGTGCAAGTGGCTTTGGCACCCCTGATGAATCCTGTCACTGCTAGTGGCCAACAAATCTCAATCATGTTTGCTTTAAGCATCCAGCAATTGAAAACTTCGTTCTTGTTTAGAAAATTTGTGAAGCAATCAACAGAATTCTTATCTATTGAAAAGAAACCAGTCAGCCGACTTTGGGATGCCATGTCTAATCGCAGGATGTGCAAGTTCCTGTTCCTTCGGCGAAGAAGAATGAGCTGTTGCTGAAGCTGGAAGCCGCAAGCATCAATCCAGTTGACTGGAAGATGCAGAAAGGGATGTTGAGGCCTCTGCTGCCTCGTAGGTTGCCCTATATCCCAGGTAATCGTCCTCCAGCCTCGTCATGGACTCATGGCCTCCTGCATTTTCTTGTGCATGCTTGTAGCCTGGTGCTTTGGACTGATATGATATTGCTAGTATGCTATATCAACCCATATGCAAAGATAGTAATACTGATCTCTACATTTACAGTACATTATTATTCTTATATTTGCCTAGGATCGCAGTTTATGTTAACATTATCAGCATTATTGTGTACATTTGTTCTTATGGCCAGTGTTCATATATTCAAACAAGTCTATGTACAACTTTTAACTCTCTCCTACTAAATACTAATGTAATGAGCATTTCTCTTTCTTGTTTTCAAGCATTATTTATAATTATGAAAATGGAGAGTCCAATGGATTATACTGCTTTCTCCTAGTTCTTCTTTAAAGGCTGCAACAGCTATTGGTATTTGTTATTGGAAAAAGAATCTAAGTACTTGTGACAAATGGAGATAACCAATTTTCGTCTTGGGCTTTTTTGGATCCCTTCCTTACCATTCGAATTTGAGAAAAGACATACGAACTTTTTGAGTGAGGCAAATTGGTTCCCCTTCACTAGCGAAGATTTTCTTCTGCGCTGACAAGGATAGGTCGATGCTGCTGCTGGGCAAAGGATGAGTTTTGTGGCTGCTTTTCTCACTGACTTGTATTAATAATTCCTTCATGTTCTGCAGTGACTGATGTGGCAGGAGTAGTAGTTGATGTTGGTTCTGGAGTCGATGGATTCCAAGCTGGAGATGAAGTCGTCGCCATGTTGAACCCATTCGTAAGCATACAGTCCTGTTTCTGCAAAACAACTTAAACCAAAGATTATTATTTTGTTAATCCCTTTTTTTCTTTTCTGTAACAACAGTCTGGAGGTGGATTTGCAGAGTACGCGGTGGCATCTGTAAAACTGACGGTCAAGAGGCCTCCCGGTGTGTCCGCTGCCGAAGGCGCCGGGCTGCCCATCGCGGCCGGCACTGCGCTCCAGTCTCTTCGATCAATCGGCGCCAAGTTAGACGGCACTGGAAAGCCCCTGAACGTGCTGGTCACTGCCGCGTCCGGTGGCGTGGGACTCTACGCAGTGCAGCTCGCGAAGCTGGCGGGCCTCCACGTCACGGCCACCTGCGGCGCGCGGAACATGGAGCTGGTGCGCAGCCTGGGCGCCGACGAGGTGCTCGACTACAAGACGGCCGAGGGAGCCAGCATGCGGAGCCCGTCGGGGAGGAAGTACGACGGCGTCGTCCACTGCACGGTCGGTGTCGGCTGGTCGACGTTCGAGCCCCTGCTGAGCGCCACCGGGAAGCTGGTGGACATCACCGCCAGCTTGTCGGCCTTTCTCAGGGCCGCCCTGCACTGGGTGACGTTCGCGAGGAAGCGGCTGGTGCCGCTGCTCCTGTGGCCCAACAAGGCGGACCTCGAGTTCCTGGTCGGGCTGGTGAAGGACGGCAAGCTCAAGACCGTGGTCGACTCGAGGTTCCCGCTGAGCGAGGCGAGCAAGGCGTGGGAGAAGAGCATCGATGGGCATGCCACCGGCAAGATCATCGTTGAGATGGAAGGCTGATCGGTGATGGTTATACAGAATAATCACTGAGTGAGGGTGTTTTGCTTGTTGCAGAATTGAAGAGTGAAGTTTCACCAATTTCAATATGAACGTTGCAAACTTACTACAGTATATAGTAACATTACAAACATGTTTTCCACGTCATATTTCCTCTTTATCTTCTTTAATTTTTCTTTTCCAATTTCAGGCACATGAAAGGGCATTTATTTTATGGCCTTTATTACTGTTCACAAGCTGACTTGTTGGGGCGAGATCCATTGTCACGGGCGAGCTCTGGGCTGGGTGCTTGGGTTTGTGCGGCCTGGAATGCTACAGAAAGATTCTGGAGCGGTCGCTGCGCGATTCTTTGTGCGAGAAGGTTAGGCCGCCAGTGCGCCGGAGGGCCGGCTTGGGGCAACCACCGCTAGCGTCGTCCTCACCGCAGGCGCTTGGCTGGAGGGGTTCGTGGCGTGCCGCCGGTTAAATCCTAAGACGTTAGGATGTCCCAAATGCAGCAGGTGCTCAACGGACAATGACAGAGCTGGTGAATTCGGACACCTAGCGCCACTATAGGAGCACCTAAGCAACCCATACCATACCCGCATATCGATGTCACAGAAGTGAATGATAAAACGCATAATTTAGAACATATATGTAAACTACATACTCATATATATATATATATATATATATATATATATATATATATATATATATATATATATATATATATATATATATATATATATCGCGTTGCCGTGGGGCAATTATTTCATCCAGAATTTTTTTTTTAAAAAAAAGGATATATGCGGAACCATGCAGCCTATTAGTGGGTACTCTCAGTGGACGTCATCATCGATGATATACTCAAATTCGACAGAATTTTGCAGGAAAAAATGATGCGCCTACATTATAGATAAGGGCCTGATCTGTACATGTAAGTAGATGGCAAGCGAAATTGTGAAGGAAAATTATGGGCCATTGTGGCAACTTCAATAGCTACATAAATAAATAAGATACTAATATACTCCAACCAGCAGATGAAACTGCACCTGCATACCTAGTAGACAATGCTTCTCACTCTCGAAGACGCTGATAGTTTGATACGAACATCAGCCATTGCTCATAGATGCACCTGCAGTTACAGAACTGAACGGATATGACAGTATGAATGTATGATGTTGGACATTCTCTTTTTGCGTGTTTTGTGAAACTAAGGAAACATAGACAGACTGTTGGTACGTGGACATGATGGTATGTTGTGCTGCTTTCAGCTCAAATTTACACAGTGCAAAACACCAACAAAACACCAACAGCATGGGTTGTGCATTCTTGAGGTGCAGGTGCTCTGTAAAAGATTTTCATACCGAGTGCATGGTAGAGGCCATAGTGCTTAGCTAAAAAAGATAGGGAATATCGTGATACAACAACAACGACGACAAAAACAAAAACAAAAACAAAGCCTTTAAGTCCCAAACAAGTTGGGGTAGGCTAGAGTTGAAACCCAGCTGAAACAATCAAGGTCCATGCACGTGAATAGTTGTCTTTCAAGCACTCCTATCGACTAAGTCTTTGAATATATTCCTTCCTTTCAAGTCTCCTTTTATTGTCTCTACCCAAGTCAACTTCAGTCTTCCTCTGCTTCTCTTCACGTTACTATCCTGGCTTAGGATTCCACTACGCACCGGTGCCTCTGGAGATCTTTGTTGGACATATCCAAACCATCTCAACCGGTGTTGGATAAGCTTTTCTTCAATTAGTGCTACCCCTAATCTATCACGTATATCATCGTTCCGAACTCGATCCCTTCTTGTATAACCACAAATCCAACACAACATACGCATTTCTGCGACACTTATCTGTTGAACATGTCGCCTTTTCGTAGGCCAACATTCTGCACCATACAACATAGCAGGTCTAATCGTCGTCCTATAAAACTTGTCTTTTAACTTCTGTGGTACCCTTTTGTCACATAGGACACCAGATGCTTGCCGCCACTTCATCCACCCTGCTTTAATTCTATGGCTAACATCTTCATCAATATCCCCGTCTTTCTATAGCATTGACCATAAATATCGAAAGGTATCCTTCCTAGGCACTACTTGACCATCCAAACTAATATCTTCCTCCTCCCGAGTAATAGTGCCGAAGTCACATCTCATATACTCAGTTTTAGTTCTACCGAGTCTAAAACCTTTAAACTCCAAGTCTCCAAAGTCTCCCGCCATAACTCTAGTTTCTGATTCACTCATGTCCGGCTTTCATCAACTAGCACTACATCGTCCGCGAAAAACATACACCAAGGGATGTCCCCTTGTATGTCCCTTGTGACCTCATCCATCACTAAGGCAAACAAATAAGGGCTCAAAGCTGACCCTTGATGTAGTCTTATCATAATCGGAAAGTCATCCATGTCTCCATCACTTGTTCGAACTCTAGTCACAACATTGTTGTACATGTCCTTAATGAGCCCGACGTACTTTTGTTGGGACTTTATGTTTGTCCAAAGCCCACCACATAACATTCCTTGGTATTTTATTATAAGCCTTCTTCAAGTCAATAAAAACCATGTGTATGTCCTTCTTCTTCTCCCTATAGCTTCATAGTATGGCTCATCAACTTAATTCCCCGATAATTAGTACAACTTTGAATATATTCTTTATTCTTGTAGATCGGTACCAATATACTTCTCCTCCACTCCTCAGGCATCTTGTTCGATCGAAAAATATGGTTGAACAGCTTGGTTAGCCATACTATAGCTATGTCCCCGAGACATCTCCACACCTCGATTGGGATACCATCCAGTCCCATCGCCTTACCTCCTTTCATCCTTTTCAATGCCTCTCTGACCTTAGATTCTTGGATTATCCGCACAAAGCGCCTATTGGTGTCATCAAAAGAGTCATCCAACTGAAATGTTGTGTCCATATTCTCACCATTGAATAATTTGTCAAAATACTTTTGCCATCGATGTCGGATCTCATCCTCCTTCACCAAGAGATGCTCCCTTTCATCCTTAATGCACTTAACTTGGTTGAAGTCCCTTGTCTTTCTCTCACGAACCCTAGCCATCCTATAAATGTCCTTCTCTCCTTCCTTCGTACTCAAATATTGGTAAAGATCATCGTATGCTCTACCCTTTGCCACACTTATAGCTCGCTTTGCAGTCTTCTTTGCCACCTTGTACTGCTCTATGTTGTCCACACTCCTGTCATGGTACAAACGTCTATAGCATTCTTTCTTCTCCTTAATAGCCCTTTGGACTTTCTCGTTTCACCACCAAGTATCTTTAGCGTTGCCTCCACTTCCTTTGGTTACTCCACACACCTCTGAGGCCACCTTCCGAATGTTGGTTGTCATCTTCTCCCACATGTTGTTTATGTCCTCTTCTTTCTTTTAAGAGCCCTCTTTGATAACCCTTTCCCTGAATACCTCTGACGTCTCCCCTTTCAGTTTCCACCACTTTATTCTTTCAATCTTAGCTTGTTTATCCCTACGAGCATGCACCTGAAAACGAAAGTCTGCCACCAAAAGCTTATGTTGAGAAACAACACACTCCCCTGGTATCACTTGCAACCCAAGCATGCTCGTTTGTCTTTTCTTCTTACGAGGACAAAGTCAATCTGGCTAGAGTGTTGTCCGTTACTAAAGGTCACTAGATGAGATTCTCTCTTTCTAAAGAAAGTGTTGGCTATCATCAGGTCAAAAACTACCGTGAAGTCCAGAACTTCCTCCCCCTCCTGATTTCTACTACCATACCCAAAACCTCCATGAACTGCCTCGAAACCTACGCTTATAGTACCTACATGTCCATTAAGATCTTCTCCTATAAAAAGCTTCTCACTACTAGGTACAGCTCTAATCAGGCCATCTAAGTCTTCCCAGAACTGTCTTTTAGCACTCTCATCGAGGCCTACTTAGGGGGCATACGCACTAATTACGTTCAAGACCATATCACCAGTGACAAGCTTTACTAAGATAATCCTATCTCCTTGCCTTTTCACTCCCACCACACTATTCTTGAGGCTTTTATCAATCAAAACTCCTACTACATTTCTATTCGTAACTGTCCCTGTGTACCAAAGCTTGAAACTTGTATTGTCCACCTCCTTCGCCTTCTGACCCTTCCATTTAGTCTCTTGAACGCATAATATATTTACACGCCTCCTAGTTGCGGTATCAACTAATTCTCTTAACTTATCTGTAAGCGACCCTACATTCCAACTACTTAAACGAATCCTAGTTGGTTCGACTAGCTTCCTTGCCCTTCGCACCCGTCGACTCAGATGCGAAGACCCTTGCTCATTTTTCACTACACCCGGGCGCCGATGTAGCGCGCCACTAAGGAAGCGACGACCCGATCCTTGCTCACTTGACACCGTGCCCAGATCGCGACATGGCGTGTCACGAGGGTGACGACCCGGCCCTTTCTCATTTAACACCATACCCAGGTTCCGATATGGCGCGTCGCTAAGAGGGTTACGCCCCCACGGTTTTCTTTCGGGTTTCATCTCCATTAGAATGGCTAGATTTAACGTTGGCTCGTCACGCCTGTCACAACCCTCCTCCTTTATCTAGGCTTGGAACCTGCTATGTTGAGACAACATAGGCGGAGTTAAAGGGAATATCCTGATGAATATAGATATTAGAACACACAGTGCAAAGGGCCCATATAATGCAGTTTGCTAACATAATAGGCTTACAATGGAATTCGCCCTGGGTGATGCATATTCAGAGAGGAACTTCAGAAACAATGAAATTAGAAAGTTGACAGACATGGGATAGTTAGGTAGCCTGACAATGTAAGCCACTTCGTAACAGAAAGGTAGCCTAGAAATTCCTGAAACGATGTACAATATATGAAAAAAATGGTCTCTTTCCTGACACTTGAATATATTAAAGTAACGCTTGCTAGCACGGGTATAAGCAACATTGGCTTACTAACATGGTAGTACAATTGTTAGTATAGATGAAATCTCAGATGAAATCAAACAGAAGTGGAAACCATGGTCTGTGAGTGT